ATCCCTATTTGCTATAAGAAACCTGGATGTGCCTGTCGAGGGTTGCGCCTCTTTATTATGACAAGTATCACGTGAGCACGTGATTCGTGACACTTAAACAGGTGTCTTATTATAGGACTAGTCCCTTTATAGCTACTTTAAGGCCGCTCTTCTATCTCTCCTCTCCCTCTTCTCCCTCTAATTCGAGTACTAGGCGATATTCGCTTAGCCTTCCTAGTAAGAATATCTACTCTAGTAGTACTAGTACCTTCTAGTTATATCTAAGTGTCACGAATCACGTGCTAAAGGGCATGCCCCGCGTCATGTGATGAGTTAGTCCAGACGGCGTTCCGACTGGACAGGCACATCAGGATAGTTATAGCAAATAGGGATGCTTAGAGTAGCTAAGCGATCCAAGGATTTCACATGTAGAGGGTCACGTGATATATGCAGGGCGACATGGTCGTTGTCGACTTTGTGACTTAAGGAGAACGAAGGATCTATATAAGACTGGCACGTTTGCCATTAGATAGGAGCTTCGTGCTCAACTTAGTTATCAATCTTATCATATTAGTTTGACATCTTTGATACAAGTAACGAGTTCACTTCCAAGTGAACAACCCGATAGTCTTCTTCTTATCATAGCATACCAACCAGCGAACACCCAGCCAAGTTTAGTTAGCCAGTTTGAGTATTCGTTACACTAAGTACGTCTTATATATCCCTTAGTCTAGCGGCTATCTAGCTTCCTAGTACTCTTTATAAGCGTTGTCTCTCCTCTAAGTTTACTATAATAAAGTACTAGGTAGTTTATATTATCTATCCTAAGCTTATACTAATAGTATAGAGTCTACTAGCTAGGGACCCGGCCTCTAGAAGAGAAACTCTCTAAGGCCTATTTTCTTAGTTCTTACCTAAACTAGGAGGGAGCTCTTTACTTTTAGGAGGTTCTTATAGAGGTGTGACGAAACCGGTATCTAACTAACTAAAGGTATCGAGTTCGACTGTTGGTATGCGGGAAAGAAGACAACTATCAGGTCGTGTGTTTACTCAAAGGTAAACTCGTCACTTGTACAAAGTAGTCAAGACAGCAAAGGTATTGAATGCAATGTAAACTAAGTTGAGCACGAAGCTCCTATCTAATGGCAGACGTGCCAGTATTATATAGAACCTTTGTTGCCTTGTCCTAACTGTTGGATCGCCAGGGTCGCTCGTCTACCGAGTCGACCTAGACGACTGGACTAGACGACTGGAGCGCTCGTCGCTCCAGGCGACCCAACTTGTCACGTGATACCAATTAAAGGAAATCCCTGGATTGCTTAGCTAGCGCAAGCGATCCCATTTGCTATAAGAGTGTTCAATAGTGCCTGACCTGTCAGGACGCCGCCTGGTTTTCACTTCTCACGTGCTAACACGTGATTCGTGACAAGAGGCTCCTGTAACGAATACTCAAACTGGCTAACTAAACTTGGCTGGGTGTTCGCTGGTTGGTATGCTATGATAAGAAGAAGACTATCGGGTTGTTCACTTGGAAGTGAACTCGTTACTTGTATCAAAGATGTCAAACTAATATGATAAGATTGATAACTAAGTTGAGCACGAAGCTCCTATCTAATGGCAGACGTGCCAGTCTTATATAGATCCTTCGTTCTCTTGTGCTAGCTTGCTAGACTCGTCGCTCGGTCGCTGCTAGACTGGTAGACCAGTCGTCCCGTCTAGCGACATATATCACGTGATAACAATACAGAGAAATCCCTGGATCGCTTAGCTACTTCAAACGATCCCTATTTGCTATAAGAAACCTGGATGTGCCTGTCGAGGATTGCGCCTCTTATTATGACAAGTATCACGTGAGAACGTGATTCGTGACACCTTCTTAATAGTATCTATACTTATTACATCTTCTGCCTCCTTTCTCCTAGTCTCTTCTATAGTTATATTTGTAGTATTTAGTTTGGGGTTCCTCTTAGGTTCTCTATCCCTTCTTATAGAGAGCTTCGGCGACCATCGATAACAATACTATAATCTAGTATTATTATAGACTTATATTCTTACTAGTAATCTAATATAGATTACTAGGATAGCTTTCTAGAAGTTTTCGGTAACTCTTAAAAATTTATGTTTTTTTTTCTTTAAAGGGTTTATTAGTTTAAGTGTATTTAGAGCTTATTTAATCTTATTTTATTAGTAGAATTATATTTTATACGTTTAAACTATTCTATATTATTTAGTATATTTTAATAATTAATCTTCTTCTTTTTACTATTCTATAATATTATACTTATATTATTTAGTCTTATAAGTAGGGTTAGATAGTAGAAACGTACCTTATATACCTAAGTTTATATCCTTATCGAAAAGTACTATAAGGTACTACTATCTATATAAAACCCTTGTTTTTAACTTACTAGATAAAGTGACTGTATATTAAGAACGAAAAGTACGGCTGAAAAGGCAAGCTGACACACATCTTGTCGCTTGCATACGAGTCACCCCATTTAACCGGTTCCATCACTTGCACCAGTTGTATCCAGCCTGGCTCTGCATACCTCGTCCAATCGACCAGTAAGGATGCTTAACAGTAGACACAAAACGGAAAAGAAGAAGTCGCACGAATCCTTTACTAGGATGGATGAGGAAAGGTCAGAAAGTACCATGACATTAGGCTGTATTTATTCTTGGGCGTCAAAACCATCATAGCGGAAAAGGCTCCAACCCCGGTAGGATGTGTCCTGTCCACTGGTGGTTTGGTATATTTGCTTTACTCACAACTCTCCAGATCACCCCTCGCGAAGGACGAAGCTACAGTCTACAAGCATCCTCTTCGCCCTTTTTAATTCCATCGCAAGAGTGTCTCTTCGAATACCTAGAGTTGACATCAAAATCACCCCATCATGTCCCGCTGGCACTCATCGTCGTGCTTAGAGCCTGATGTTTTTCTCGTGAACCAAGTGCCTCACTGTCGTGCCTGTGAGACAAGCGCATTTATCGCCCTATCCGACATCAACACTTCCAACGCCAAATCCGAGCTGGATATACCGCCCGACGAAGTTGACAGCAAGCTTAACCTCCACTGGCCCTCTAACATAAATTGGGATCACCAGAACGAGCCATCAAACGATACACAGACAGAGCTTTCGCCTAATCGACTACATTCAAAGATTGTGGGTCCCAATGAGGCTGAATCGGTGTTACCGTCCTCGCCAGTATACAACAAATGTCTTGAGCGTAGCGAGATTCGGTTGATATATCTCGAAGCAGTACTAGACCAGGATTTACCTATACACGTTTGTCTTGAAGTGTATGAACATGAATTGTGCCCTGAGTATGAGACAGTATCTTACACATGGGCATCTGAAGACGGTGACAACAATCGCGCACAACCGATATATATTGGACCGTTCTGGGACGTCATTCTTCAAACGCGAAATTTCACTGCTCTTCTCCGCTATTTGCGACCTTCTCGGGGCTTTAGACTTGTGTGGATCGATGCCATTTCCATCAACCAAAGAGACTTGGTTGAGCGCAATAATCAAGTTGCAAGAATGGGCGATATATATCGAGCATGCACGCGGACTATAGTATGGCTTGGGCACGACCTAGTGGACCGCAAAGCAACTGCTCGGAAAAAGGTCCCTCTCGAACTTTTTAACCAGGTTTTGAAGTCCAGTCCCGAGGAGTCTGCCTTGGATATAGAAAGTGTTCTTAAGCGAAAATACTTTCAGCGGATTTGGGTGATCCAAGAACTTACTCTTGCTCCTTCATCTGTTTTTCCTATAGCCGGAGTGGACTTTCTGGGCGCACACCGGACTCCATCGGGAATACTTAAATCAGTATCTCAATGGAAATTTTTCGAGGACACCCCAGCCTCGTGGTTTCAACATACGCATCAAATTTCCTACCCGATTGATTGGAGTCTTCTAGAGATACTAAAGCAAATGTCTCATTCGGAAGTTGAAGCGACCGATCCTCGTGACAAGATATTTGGGATTCTTGGTTTGATCCCGCACTCGCGGACTCCCTGCAGTCTTCTGAATCCTGATTATTCTCTTTCTAATATGGCGACACTCATTGGCGTTTCCGCTCATCTTTTGCTGAATCTCCGTCGACCCCAGTTATTGCTAGCTAGCGTAGGGTCAAAAGCACGATCACCATGGCCCACGTGGGTGCCTGACTGGAGAACCAACTGGCTCAAAGCGCCGATAAGACAAGAGTTACATCTTCCTGATAAGGACTACAGCCCTTTACTGGACTCACATGCTGCAAATCGAGCTGAAATTGGAACTATTTACGTTTGTGACATAAGGTTTTATGTACCATCTCTTTATAGTAAAAGTAGTATCTACCACAGAAGAGCTGCAGTCGGCCTCGATAAACTTTGGTCAAGCGGAAACTCAGTTCGAAGTTATGATGGTGGTTTGACACTTAACTTGGTTCATATATTGTCGTTCATGGATCCACCGTCCCATGTTCATGAATTTCCTGATGGTCGGAGCTTAAATCTGTTTGTATTTCGTACCAAATCATGCACTCTGGGAATTATACCGACCCTACGGCCTTGAATGAATTATCGTGTCCGGGGAAAAAGCATCTATTCATGACAGCGACTCAAGAAGAAGAATACTTCATGGTTCTTCAAGAAACCGACAAGTCGGGTGATTTCAGATTGGTCGTTTGTTTTTATTGTGCCAGACTGAGTCTCTGCTCGCCGTGGGCACCTGCTAGCTGGGTGTATCGGTGGCTACCAAGAGAAAGCCATGCAAAAGCTCTCAATCCTGGTAAAACTGTTGAACATTACGCGGTTACACCCGCGCAAAGCCTAGCAGATATCAAATCACACTTCAACGATGCCGCCCCATTCTTCAAATCCTCAAATATTCTGGAGGCTTTTCTACCAGGATCTGGTTCTCTGACTATTAGAAACTTCCTTTTTCTCGCTCAAAGCATAATAGCATCCAAAGAAATGAGCGGAGACCTCTTGAGTTGGCTTGCTTCCTCTAAAGACCCGAAGTTCTTAGAGCTTTTCCAGGAAATTCTGTTAAGACGATCGGCGTCCTTTCATCCGAAGGTCCATGAAGATAAAGTATGTCTCGTCATAAACGATATCGAGTGGAGGGATCTGTATGACACATATCATGCTTTCGTCGAAAAGCTTTCGTATCGCTGGTCTTTTCAATTCATATACCAAGAAGATGAGTCTGAATCCGGACGATGGAGTTATAGCGTTAGACCTCATGTACCAGAAAAGTCAGTTTGTATCCGGTATCCACTTTGGTTGCTTGCAAAAATAATACAAGATCGGAAAGTGTACGAAGTTCTAGCTTTATTCACTCCCTTCACAAAGGACAGCAATGAGAATGAGCTCACTTTAGCCCTTCGACCCGAGGAGGAGGGAGACGATACAGAATATGGCAAACTTTGGCCGCAGAAAGTTTACGACGAGCTTGACTTGGACCTGAAGTTCCAAAAAGTGTGTATTATTTGAAAGACATGGAAAAGCAAGTTTTGCATCAAGCAAACGATTCAGCGAGAAATTCCATGGGTACGAAGAAACTCAATAACGATTTTGCACGGCATTTTGGGACACGAGTTTTCTCGTATTTGGTGGAGCCTATATTTAACGACCTATAGTTGATAGAGGAGCCATGGAGGACTTTGGGAACTTGCGGTTTTGGATGGTTGCTCTGAGCTGTTTCCTATTTTTCTTGATACAGCTTCTAGTATGACTTCTGGTTTATTTCTGTCGTGTTCGGAGTTGTCTATACTTTGATTCACTATTAACTTTTGTTGGAATTTCGGACTTTGTGTGTGCGGTTGGATTGTTTTGTGGTTTGGTTTTAGTTACAATTCCTTTAATTTACGCTATTGCTTTGGAAATGAGAGGCGTGAGAAGGTGTACGTGAAATAGTCTGATCAAGGGTTGTAAGCCTTGGTGAATACCCTTGCTAAGTTTTTGAATACGCGAAACGTTTTATCCTTGGTTGTTGGGAGAGATAAACAATATGTCCCCGTTGAATAATAGAATCGAGAAACTAAAGTGGTCCTATAACTGGATTTCTTGGTATAGGGAAGGAAAAGGTAAATGCTATTTTGTTATATTTTTCCTTGAATGTAATTATAAAGATGGTTACGCTAATGCCAAGAATGAGTAGGGTGACTAGCTAAGGTATTCCTAGTAGTTCCCAAGCTTTACGGATCCTAGTCTGAGAGCCAAGGAATAATATAATGTCCACTGGCTTTTTGCTTAACCGTAGGTACTAAGTAGTAGTGATTTACGGGAAAGTGTTGGGCTAATAATGGATTGAAGTATAGTAAACATTGTGAAATCTACGCCCATTATACGAGTCTACGCGTTAGGCTTATATAAAAGTTCCTTTAGCATTTTTGTAGGTAAAATCGTAGTCCAGAGTGTTTACACTAAGTGGGGTGATTCAGGTTGAAATGAAGAAAATTATTCCCTGTCCCCCAGACTCTTCCTACTATATTATTAAATATCACTTTTGCCACTTTCTATTTGAAACTTATGAGTCAATCGTTATTGGCCTCTCAGTACATTTGGAATACCTACCGTATCTGTGCAGTAGGAATGTCGTACTGTACAAGACCGCTTCCTGGCTGTTTGAAGAACAGCCTTTCTCCAGACCCCTCGCCAGAGATGTCCAACCACGACTCCACGAGAAGCTACTTCTCATCACAAACCCCTGCACATGAGGAGGAATTCTGGTTGCTCGTAGACAACAGAAACATCTTATGGATATCCAGTCTCGCACTTTGGTATTTTCACAGGGGTCAATTTATTGCGGAAATCGCGATATTCCGAAATATATCACTTCCAGCGTCCACACCTGTTTAAGAGTTATAGTACTCATTGAATGTACCTTATTTGAACATATGATACCTGTCACAAATGGAACTGGGTATTAGGTAGGGTACCTACTGTTATGGTGGGGATCAAGGAATAGATTGTTCGCAAGGAGGGAAGAGAGACGCTCTTCGCACTCCTTAGGTATTTGTCTATCTACGGAAGGGTACACCCACAACTTCGCTAAGCGAACCCTTATTCACTAAATCAAAAACTGTCACACCTACCTAGGTTTAGGGTATTGGTCACGTGTATCAGACCACGTAACTCTTCTATTTCCTACTTATATAGCAGAGTTTACACTCGTCTAATCTAAGCTCAGTTAAGTATTTCCACTTACTATTCTATGCGCGATAATATCTTCTCGGCAATTATAATCGCACCTACCAAAATAAGCGTTCTCATTTACTTTCGCTTACTGTACTGTTTACCTGCTTCATCACCTCATGTTCAAACCCCCCTTTCTCGCTAAACCCACCAAACCCTCCCCAAAACTACCACCTCCTACACTTAAATCTTACTCTCCCCTTTCCCCGCACCAAACATCCCCCCCAAACTCCCACTAATAAGATACTCGCCCCCATCAACCGTAACCACCGCCCCATTAGCATGACTCCCCGCCCTGCTACTCAAAAACACGACAAGGCCCGCAATATCCTCCGGGACACCATTGCGTCCACTCGGATTCCTCTTCGCCGTCTCTTCGAGCCCGCCGCAGAGGTCGATGAGGCCGTTTGCCATCTTGGTGGGGAAGAGACCCGGTGCGATGGCGTTGACGAGGATGTGGCGGGGCCCGAGCTCGACGGCGAGGTTCTTGGAGAGGTGGATGGCGGCGGCCTTTGAGGCGGAGTAGGCGTATGTTGCGTGTGGTCCTAGGGTGCCTTGGGGTGTTAGGGTTTAGAAAGAGAGGGGAGAGGGAGGGGAAGGGAGGATACCGATTGCTAGGCCTGCAACGGAGGCTGTGATGATTACTCGGGAGGGATCTGCAATAGTACCGCGTTTTTGGAGGAGAGGTGCGAATCTGTGTTTTCGTAAGTCTTGTGTTCATTCTTCCTCAAGTCTTTCTTTTCCTTCTTCTCCATCGTCTTCCTCCTCATCTTTTCTCTCTCTTTTTGAATCCACGAAGATGTGACAAGTCAAAAAGCGATAGAAGGACGTCCTCATCAGATCAAAAATCCACATCAAGTCGACGGTACTGTGCCTCTGAGAAAATCTCGCCTCAACTCCTCCTTCATCTCACCCCCTGAAGGTCATTGAGGGGGGTACAAGCGAGAATCTCAATACCACAACCACAACCACAACCTCAACCCCATCTTCTCCCCCTCCCCCATTTGCTGAAAACAAAACAACACCTTCAACCCCTCCTCCTCCCCCTCCCTCTTCGAAAAAACAAATTATAAAGAGCACAAACTCACAACCGAAGACACCCAAAAACCCCCCTCACATTCAAATCCATCACCTTCCCAAACGCCCCATCACTATGATCTTCAAACCGTTCCCCCCAACTAGCCCCCGCATTCGCCACAAGGACATCAACATATTCCGTCAGCTCCCCCACTTGTTTCACCAACCCCTGAATCCTAGCGATAGTCGAGATATCCGCGGGGACAGCGATGGCTTTGGCGCCTGGTGCGAGGTTAGGAAGATTATTGAGGAGCGAGACGGCTTGAGCACAGGCGAGAGCCTTGCGGGAGGTTTTGAAGACTTTTTGGGCGCCTGCTTGGAGGATGCTGGGGGGTGTTAGGGGGAAGGGGAAAAGGGGGGGAAGGGGNCAGGCGAGAGCCTTGCGGGAGGTTTTGAAGACTTTTTGGGCGCCTGCTTGGAGGATGCTGGGGGGTGTTAGGGGGAAGGGGAAAAGGGGGGGAAGGGGTAGATACCCAGATGCGGCGTGGAGACCTAGACCGCGGGAGCCGCCTGTTATTACGACGAGTTTCCCTTTTAAAGAGACGGTGCTTGGGAAGTCTTTAAGTTCTGTGTCATAGTTTGACATTTTGTTTGTTCCAAGCACAACTTCTTTCTTTTTCTTGTCGACCTTTTTTACTCTCTCGAATTCCTTCTTTTCTCTGGAGGCGGGCACTCGGTTAGCGATTGTGTAGCTGAATGATATATTGTGAGGAAGTTTCAGGGGGGAAGTATGATGGAGTTGAGAATTTGGAAGTGAGTGAAGCGAGAAATTCGTGTAATGTGGTACAATTGGATTGGATTGGAGAAGCAATTGATCGAAGGTGTAAGAGGATGTAAACTTGGGAGACGTGAACATGTGGGGTGTGTATTCACCCCCTGCTTGCCGAGGTACACCTTTTCTTCCCCTCTTTATGAATTGCTGAATACGGAAATAAGTGCATATTGTGAAGATATCATTGTGATGAAGATTCTGTAGGTTGTAAGTAAGACACTGCATGAATTGAAGTTCATGATTTGATAGAGTCACGAATTAGAAGAAAAAAGGGGATTGAAGTTTATTAGTGGTGAGACTATCCCTGTAAGATATCAGATTCTCATGTCGATTATTGACAACATGAGTATGAATACTCCCACCTAGAGCTGAGAACCTCCCCAAAGCACAAACTTTTCATTTCTTCCTTGCCACCCAGTGGCTAGCCCGATAAGTATTCTGTAACATGCTGTTTGCATCCTGAATGTAAGGTGCTTGGATACCGAATACTCGCTTCTCAATGGAAAACCCCAGCTCTTCTACAAGAGCAACAACCTCGTCGTCTGTCAGTTCGACACTACCTGGATCCGCGATTCCTGGGATTAATTAGTATTTATGTAGTTGATGAGGGCAAGTGAACGTACCCCAGGTGGTTGGTTTAGGATCTTTCTCCTGCTCTCTCTCTTTTCCTATGCCCTTATCTACCTCCTTTCCTTTTCCCTTGTCTACCTCCTTTCCCTTCCCCTTATCTACCTCTTTTCCCTTCCCCTTATCTTTCTCCGTCGCCTTTTCATTCTCATTCTCCTGCTCTTTCTCCTTTCCGCTGTCTATCTCAATCGCAATTTCCTTTTCCCTCTCCTCTCGCTCACGACCATGACTCCCAGGTGCGTTTCGTTCAAAATGCCAAAGCAGAGGACCGACATTTATCAATAATCCTCCTGTCTTCAAACAATTGCGCACAGTCTCGATGTATCGAATGAGATTAGGAGCTGTATCAAGGAAAAATACGGTGGCAACAGCATCAAATCTGTCTTGCTGTTTCTTACTTCCGTACAAAAGCAGAAAGTCAGATGCACTCATGCTCATATCTCCAGATTCTTCCGTGTGAGTCATGAGATCTCCTGTACTGACATCGGGTATTAGAACCGATTTCAAATGGTTTTTGCGAGATTTGTGGTTGGAAAAGGAATGAGCCCATGGATACAAAGTGTGTATACGAGATCCGACGGAGTAGTTGAGGATATAGGAGCTTGCAAGAAGTTGATGGTAGCTTATTTCGTTGCCTTCGGCGTTGAATCCATCAATACATAGGTCAAAGACCAGGCGACCAAGACCCGCACCGGGGACAAGAATGTTCATTTTCTCATTACTTCGAAGACTACGAAGACTTCGCTCTTTTTGCAGTGCGGCGTGTACTGGGCAGTGTGCTGCATTTCTCTCGACGATACCTTCCTCAGACCAATCGCGGAAGAGTTGACGGAGAGTACTGCGCGCCTTTTCTAGGTCATTCGTGGTTGCGGAGGTTCGCCAATCGGAGCCATCTTTGGTTACTATCAGGGATGGATCATTAAGTCCGAAAGATTCGAGACCAGCTTTAAGAATAGCTTGAGCAATTTCCGCATTCTTGTCAATGGCCAGGTCTACTTCGTTGAGAGTGTCAAGGTAGGAGAAAGGAGGCTTCGCTAAGAGCTCCCAGTGCTTCTTTGGGAGAGCATAGAAGGATTGTCGTCTGAGATGAGTAGTGTTGTAATGGGCAACTTTGGAGTATTGACTGCAACGAGTCAGTGGAAGGTTCCTTGTGGCTTCTTTGGAAAGAGTATTGGATGCTTTTTCCGTGAGTTTGGTCAAGTCGGTTCGAATTGCCAACTAGAGTGAATTAATTGATGTAGTGATATGGATTGTGAGGATAGTACGTTGAAATATTCACCCCTTGACGCTGGAACAATGATGTGTATCTTCACTGTGAGAAGATCACAGAGGCTTTCGGTGGGTTCAAAATACCATCGAGTTGAATCAGAAGCAGGAACGGCAAACTTACTAGAAAGAGGATAGTGCACCCAAGATAACCTTCTTCTCCTGTTCATCTTCGTATGTATCTTGACCGCCCCGCCACTCAGCACTTGACATCTTGACAAGAATCGTTGCTGATGTGTAGAATTCCGAGGTGGAGGTTGGTCAAGCATTCAATATAAATATGGTGGAAAGTGCAAGAGCTCTCCCTCCTGCTTGCGAACGAGCCCGCCTGCAGGCGAGGACCAAGTGATCCACGTGACACCCCGGAAAATCCTTACATAAGCCAAGCAGGTGCCCCTTGCGCCTTCCCGCTCCCAATCATTGGCCATCCCTTGGCACAACCACGCAATACGCAGGTGCGACCCTGAAGGCTGAACCTGACCACGGGCACAGGCAAAGCCGTAGACTACTCCGTACCTATTTTCTACATTCCGCGACGGGCGACTTCTCCAAAGCATCAACCCAACAATTTTACTCCCCTCCCTCCAACCGCCACCCTCCACCCTCCAACCCGACCATCCTCAACGCCAACGATTTTGCATCCCCCTCCCACTCTGCATCTTCGTCCCAATGGCGGCCCCTGGAGCGACGCATTTGGGCGTTACCCAGCCGCTTTCCTGCGCTCTACCAACAGAGGCCGAAATCGAAGCCAACAACACCTTGATCGAGGAATTGAGACGGCAAGGCAATTATGAAAGTGCTTCCGACTCAGAAAAACGGTACGCGATTCCGATTCTTAGGGTTGCGACGTCGCCTCTCGCTCTGGCCGGGCAATGTTCAAATATAATGCTGCGCAGCGCATCATGAACAAAGCTAATGCTGCCCATCAGAAACGTCGTCCTCAAATCCCTCCAAGCCATCACCGAAGAGTTTGTCAAACAAGTCTTGCGCTCAAATTTCAATTATCCCGATGCAGTGGTTAATTCTGCTGGCGGTAGAATCTTTACCTATGGCAGTTACCGACTGGGAGTTTATGGCCCAGGCTCGGATATCGATACACTTGTTGTCGTACCCAAGGAGGTTACGCTGGACGATTTCTTCGAGCGCTTCCCAGACCTTCTCGAGAAGATGGCCCCCAAGGGCGCAATCACGGAACTTACCCCAGTACCCGATTCATTCGTGCCAATTATCAAATTTGAGTATTCCGGAATCAGCATTGATTTGATCTTTTGCTCCGTTCAACTGAAACAAGTTCCAAAAGATCTGTCGTTGCTAGGTATGGATATGCTTCGTGGGCTCAATGAGAAGGAGATTCGATGTCTGAATGGTACGAGAGTCACGGATGAGATATTGACTTTAGTTCCCCAGCCTGCCGTATTTCGCACGGCCCTTCGGGCTATCAAGCTCTGGGCCCAACGTCGAGCGATCTATGCCAATATCATGGGGTTTCCAGGAGGCGTTGCTTGGGCTATGATGGTGGCTCGAACTTGCCAGCTCTATCCCAAGGCCACTGGCTCGACTTTGGTACTAAAGTTCTTTCGCATCATGGATAACTGGACCTGGCCAATGCCAGTACTGCTAAAGCCTATTGAAAGCGGGCCCTTTTCAAACATCAGAACGTGGAATCCAAAGGTAATTTGCGCTTCAGAGCCTTTCCAGACTATCCTAACAGCTCAGATATACCACAGTGACCGCATGCACCTTATGCCAATCATCACCCCTGCTTATCCCTCAATGTGCGCTACACATAATATTACACGATCTACTATGGAAGTTATCAAGAAGGAATTAAAACGGGGTGGAGATATTACAGATAGAATCATGTCTGGGAAATCCACTTGGAATGAGCTGTTTATGAAAAACACATTTTTTGTCAATGGCTACAAGTACTACATCACGGTCATCGCAGCTAGTCCAACCGAGGAAGCACAACTTATTTGGTCAGGATTAGTGGAGTCAAAAGTGCGTCTTCTCGTAGGGTCCGCCGAAGAGAATGAGGATATTGCTTTGGTTCACCCCTTCAATAAGGGGTTTGAGAGAGTTGTCACATGCCACAATGAAGACGAAATTGAGAAAGCAAAGAATGGCATTGAGATTCCAATTAGGGAAGTCCCAGTGGAAACCACTGATCCTGCACAGCATACCAACGGTGATACCAGAGAAGAGAATGGAACCACCGAGAAACCCACCAAGATATACACATCGACATGGTATATTGGGCTACAACTTCACGAAGGTAAGTCGCCCTTCTACTTTTCCCCCATTTTGGCGACCCACTGCACTGAAAACAAGTCCTAGAAGCATTGTGGCAACAGTTCAATACGTATCCCCAACGGTCAGTGGCTAATAGGAATAGGTACCAAACGACTTAATATCGCCGACAGTGTAGAGAAATTCAAGAAGCTTTGTACCAGTTGGGAGAAATACAACCATGATCTCAATGCTCTCAACGTCTGCACAGTGAAGAAGTGAGTGGAGTAGGATTCGCTGACGATTATCGCTGACAATGGCAGTTGTGATTTGCCCAGCGATGTTTTCGCCGAGGGCGAAGTCAAACCGACCCGGCCACAGAAGAAGAGAAAGCGCGGGACGACGGAAGTAGGTGAAAGGCTATCAATCCCGGAGCAGCTTTTCCAAATCGGAAAATCCACGAGTGTAATGACCATGCTAACTATGTATAGGATTCCAACCGACCCGCCAGAAGGCAAAACACTACTGCTACTGTGGCTGCGGCTAGTTAGTTTCTGTGGTGAAACGTTTTACGTTTTCCTTGGAGATGGATCGGAATCTAACGATAGGCATTTCCAGCGTTTCTCGACATTGTGCTAATTTAATCTAACCTCGATATCCCACGGCAAGGGGAGTCGTAGGCCAACAAAAAAAAAATAAGCAAAAGCAAAATCACTAATTTCATAGGGTATAATCGCCTTTCACACTAAAGATTTGAGCTTATTGCTTCTCATTGCAAGGATTTGGTAGACCGAATCAGGCGTACTGGCACAGGCAAGGAGCTCTCGGGAGGAAATTTGAGCTTCTGGCGTTGGTAGACAGATATTCGAGCCGCCAGAGGGCGGCTAATGGTGGCAGCAATAGCCAAAGGGGGTGAGGCCATAGATGACTTACAGGGCTTGTATGTAACAAAACCAATAAAATTGAATTGTGAGACTACGAGTCTCGATTAGCATATTCTCTTCTCTCTTCATACCTACTCTATTGTAGGTGATTTGATGGATTGCATTGAGGACCTGTATATATATATATATCTCTCTCTCTCTCTCTCTCTCGCTTCCCACTAAGCTGAGGAAAGCATCGCGACGAACATATATATTCCACTTTTAGGAGCTTTATTTGCTCTAGTTTGTTAAATTACATAACTATTCTAAGGCAATCTTAGAACGCCCCTTCCCAATCGAAGTTTTTATTGCTCATTTACATTTAATTTGCTTTATATATTTTGTGATTATGACAAGGTCGTATGAATTGATGTCAGTTGGTCGGCCATAAATGGATTACGTCAGAGGCAACATCCACATTTTGGGAAGCCGTGCCCAACTACCAACTCCAACATCTGACAGGCTAGCTCTCTGGGGCGAAGTGACTGACACCACAACTAATGTTATCTTTGCTACTTCTGACTGTGTAGCGATTCACTTGCAGGTCTATCATTCATTGTTTTACCAATATCTTTGCTCCGGTGATTTGCCCCTCAGCTCACCTGCAATCATTCGGCCCCTCGTGCAGGCGCATACGCATACGCGGGTAAACTCCAGTTGCTCTTGTTCATTTGAGATCAATCCCAGCTTGCGATCCCTTCTCTTCTCTCATCAAACCACCAAAAGTGGCGGGCCCAAATCCCTTTCGAAGAGCTCCTCATCCACACCACCGCCAAAGCCTACTCCGTTACCTCTTCCCGCATCCCCGACAAGTTCTTCGTGATCGACTGGCACGATTCCGCAACGAAACAGTCCCGCCGTACAAACTCCGAGCTCAGTCGCGAATCTACAGATATATTGTCAAGCGGCAGACACGAAACAAAGCAAAGCGGGCGGCGGGAAATACGATTCTTGATATTGTTCGAAGGTGGGGCCAATTCTTGTTCCGTGATAGCAAGCTTCAAAAGAATGAGCGTGCGGCTTTGCGCCAGGTGACCATGTCTGGTTCTGCTGTTGATGGCGGGGGCTATGGGGAAGGCAGGGTTCCCGGTGCCAGGAGGAAGAAGTTGGCCGGTTATTTGAAGGCTGCGAATGATATCAGGCAGTCATATACACAATCTTACTCACAGAAATGGAATGGAGATGATCAGGATGAGGAAGATTCGAGGGGTATTCCGGGTGCGTTTCCCGACGTTGCGATTGTGTCGCATGGGGATGAGCAGCTTGTTCTTTTCCCTTCCTATGCGAGGAGGCATGTGAAAGAGACGCCGAATCCGGATTTTGTGAGGAGGAATACCGGGGATACGGAGAATGAGCAGAATGATGAGGAGTATTGGGCGAGGGAGTGGCAGAAGTTTGAGGATGATAGGGCAATTGTGGATGTGGATGTGAGGGGATGGATATACTCACCACATCGGGGACCAATGTCGAGGAAGAACAGGGTACTTATTGGATTAGCACGACAGTTGAGTGGAATTCCAGCGCCCAAAACTCCGGACAGAGATGGTAGCCCGGATTCGATTAGGGCTAGACATAGAGATCATGAGGCTCGCAGAGATCAGGAGAAGATATCACGCGAGGCCGAGCAGATATTGAAGAAAGGCCAGGGAGAGGAAAAGAAAGCTGCTCGTGGAGAGTATAGCGAGAAACCCCAAGATGACTCGGATGAAAGTACCTATGGTGACCGTAAAGGATCTGCTTCGCGAACTCCTGATGATGCACCTGGTCCAGGCCATCTTTCCTCACGGGCTTCTTGGAACCATCCCTCGGAAATGACCCAAGCTCAACTGGCGACGGCAAATGGGCATTTAATGGCACGTTTACGACCTTTCATGACAAATCCTATGGTATCCACGCCCATCACTGTCTTTTTCTATGATGAAAAAACGTCGGTTTCCAGAACCGTAACGACTAATGATGCTGGGCATTTTATTATGAGAGCGCCTTTGGAATTTATTCCTACTCACGTACGGGTACTGGCCTCTGAACATCTTTCTGCAACTGAAGAAGTCAAGATCACCGAACCCAAGGGTGTCAGTTTGATTAGTGACGTCGATGATACGATTAAACATTCTTCCATCAGCAGTGGTGCACGAGAAATTTTCCGAAATACCTTTATCCGTGATCTTGGCGACTTGACGATTGATGGAGTTCGAGAATGGTACAATACCATGTATGATATGGGCGTGGGTATACATTACGTTTCCAATTCTCCATGGCAACTCTTCCCAGTTCTGGTTAGCTTCTTCCAGAAATCTGGTCTTCCACCCGGATCTTACCACTTGAAACAATATAGTGGTATGCTTCAAGGTATTTTTGAACCTGTTGCCGAGAGGAAGAAGGGAACTTTGGAGAAGATTCTTAGAGATTTTCCTGAGAGAAGATTTGTCCTTGTAGGTGATAGTGGCGAGGCAGACCTGGAAGTTTACACGGATGTGGTTTTGGCCAATCCCGGAAAGATCATTGCTGTTTTTATTCGTGATGTTACTACACCAGAGACAGAGGGTTTCTTTGACTCGGCAATGGGACCACTGAGTGGTGATCGTTTTCGAGGACGAAATCCACCACCCAGAGCAAATACTGGCGATAGTCGGTGGACACCAACTACCACACCAGATGCCCAGGAAGGCAGACCAGCACTTCCTAAAAGAGTTGGCACGGAAGTGAAGCCTCAAACGAGTTCTGGTCCAGCTATGGGAACCTTGATAGATTTTGACGACAAACCGCAAGAAGCTGATATTCATGAATCCCATCGACGTATCGTACCCCGCTCTACCTCTGATTTTGAAGGCACTCAAAACACTCAAAGAAAGCCGGCACCAGACCTATCAGGAGGACGCGCTCCACCACCCCGTCCATCAAAACCTCAATCCCTACGTGGTGCTTCCATGACAGCGCCTAGTACCGAGTTCTTAATCGAAAAGGATACGAAGAAATCACCACCCGCACCACCTCCACCACGAAGGAGTAAACCACTGGCTGAGAATCCCTCCCATCCTCTTTCTAAAGCTCAGAGTTTCTCGGATCTCGAGAGACAATCGAGTAACGATACCTCCAATGAGGGCTATGTAGCAGCAGCTAGGAACAAAGTCGCAAGCGCCTACAACGCCCTTCCCGAAGTCCGATCCTACGTCCCAGGATATAACTCTGAAAACCGCTCCTCCTCAACCGCCTCCTCGGAACGCACGCCCGTTCCACCATCCCGCTCCACAACCTCTTCCATCGCCGCGGCGCCAAGTAACATCACCAAGCGCATGTCGTGGAATAGTACCGACTCGGACTCTGACGATTCTCGCCTTGGAGGGGGAGCGCCGCCGAACAAGAAACTGGATCTCTGGCGACAGCGGTGGAGGCGTGCGAAGGATATCCTGGATGATAAGGGGGTGGTGCTGAGGAGTTGGAGGAGGGGTGATGATGTTTGTTTGGAGGCTGTGCAGCTTGTTGAGAAGACGATGAGGGGCATGGGTGTGGAGGGGTATGGGGCGAAGCAGAGGGGGAATGAGAAGACGGGGGAAGGGGGCGGAGAGGTGAAGGTTAAGGATTTGAAGAAGTAGGTGCTTGGTGGGATGTTTGGAGGAAGGGAGTGTTGCGAGTTAGAGATCTCGCTAGCTCAGGGTTGGGACTGGGTATTTTTATTTCTCTTTTTGAGGTTCGGGGTAAGGAACTTATTGGAACGGGGTGAAAGGAAACGAGGTGCGGTAGGTTGGTAGGTAGGTGTCTTGGGAGTCGTCTTTCATAGGTTTTTCTGGTCATGACTTTTCTGGTTGTGAAGGAGGAATAGGGATAAGCATAGCAACAGGAATAGGAATGTGAGTATACGTAGAGTAAATACCTCTCTCTCTCCATCATACCGAGTCTTTCTCCGTGTTAGACGTGACCAAGTTTTAAAATAAGGTAGATCCTCCTTGTAAATACTCTTTGTGTGAGTTTAGAGCCTTATCTATTCCAAATATCGATGCTGTTATTTACTTCGTCCGGTTCACGTGCTTCGCTTAAATCAAGTCCACCTAATCTCTCCAGCTCTCAGTATCTCTCATATTTACTTTCTTATATGTGTCTGTAAGTCTATCTGAATAAATAGACCATATAGTAAATCAAGACAACTCGCTGACTTATGAAGTTGCAAGTTTGAGGTTGTGTTCCCCTCGCTTATCAGCAACGTTAGCGTATGTTGGTTTTGCGGGGCCTGAGTGGGAACTGCCTGTATGTGGAGAATAATCGTCTTTCACCTTCCTAAAAGGACGATTTCCAACAATGGGTTTATCCTATCTCACGTATCGTGGTTTGTTGTACCCATCGTGATTTGGGGTTGGTTGGGGTTTAGGTATAAAGTCTTCGAATCGTCGCTTGGCATTTCTCGGAGAAATTGAAAATCAGGGTTGGATTTAGACTTACTTTAGCCGTTGGTTGGTATTTACTCACTTCAAATGAGGGCCGGTTTGGTGAAACTTTCAACACTTTTAGAGCCTGTTTGAAAAACTTGAATACAGCGTTTTCGCCATTTCGCTGTCTTTCCTTGCGATATAGACCTTCTCAGGACATTCACAGTACTAAGAAAACATGGGACAAGTTTTCCGCATCCTAGGAGCGCTCTTCCTTGCTCTAGTAACATACCGCTTTTACATATCCTACCAAAAGTACCTTACAAAACACCTCTGGGCCTCCAAACACGGCTGCAAAGACCCCCCCTCCTACCCCCACAAAGACCCCATCCTGGGACTAGACCTCTACCTCTCCAGCATCCGCAACGCCCAAACCACCGCATGGTCTTCGGCTGGCTGGACCGCTACAAGCAATTCGGCACCATCTTCCACGGGATCTCGATTGGGAGGCGGAATGTGTTTACCGTCGATCCCAGGAATTTGCAGACGGTCCATGCGCTGGACTTTGAGAAGTTCGGGGTGAAGCCTATTAGGAGGGATGCGACGTTGCCGTTTATGGGAGAGGGGGTTTTTACGATGGATGGTTTGTTTTGGGAACGTAGTCGGGCGTTGTTGAGGCCCACGTTTACGAGGGCGAATGTGGCGAGTTTACCGGCTTTTGAGGGGCATTTTGGGAAGTTTTTGAGGCTGTTGCCGGGGGATGGGGAGATGGTGGATTTGAAGCCGTTGTTGTATCGTTTGGTGAGTTTGAGATAACATTCAGTTTTGTTTTGGCTTTTTGGGGGGAGGAGAGGTTGAGAAGCGAGTTGCTAATAGGATGAATGGATCAGTTCTTAGATACCTCGACGGAGTTTCTGTTATTATTATTATTATTATTATTCCTTTTAACGTGCTGTGTGAGTCTGAGACTATAGTAGCACGGCTGGGGGTTTCCCTCCTCGCCCCCTCGTTTCACGCTCTGTACGCTACACTTCCTCGTTCTCGTCTTCCTCGTCCTCGTCTTCCTCGTCCTCATCTTCTTTCTCATCCTCAGTTGCGCGTTGTGTGTGCCATGTTCTAGTGGCGATTTTGGTGGTTCGAATAAAGTCAAGTGTGGCCTCGACTCCTTTGGCGGTGTGAAGG